CGCGCACACACACAGCAGCTCAGAGCTCATTCTCACACACACATATATACACACAAACATACACACACAGAGATCAGCCCAGAGCTCACACACACACACACAAATACACAGGGAGATCAGTCTAGAGCTCACACACACAGAGACCAGCTCAGAGCTCGCTCACTCTCTCTCTCTCTCTCTCACACACACACACAGTGGCTCAGAGCTCACTCACACATACACATATACACACACACATACACAAAGAGATCAGCCCAGAGCCCTCTCTCTCACACACATACACACACCAACTCAGAGCTCACCCACAGGGAGTCCCCACTTTTCTCACAGCCTCACCTGGACCATTCCTGCAATGCCCATAACCCACCGTGCTGCCCCCCAAGCAGACACCTGCCTGGCTCTTGGCTACACATTGCTTTGGCCATGGGGATGTGACGGGGTGAGGGGTGTTCCCTGCACTCACAATTCCGAGCACTCACAAAAGCAGAGAGATGCCAAGGACGTTTGCCATAGCAACCTCGAGTACTAGAGGGCCCACGGTTCCTCTGTCGGGGGGAGAGAAACCAGGGCTGGGGTCCACACAAAGCAAAAGAACCTAGAATTAGCCCACGGTGGGCAAACCAATCTTTACCCTGCCAAGTACACTCGGGGTCAGTGCTGTGGGATTCTCATACACGCTTCCTAGTGCTGGAGGCAAACATGTCATGGGTGCTTAAAGAAGGCAATTGCATCAATATTGAGGCAGGTAAATCAGTGGCCCCATTTCCAGAGGTGCTGAGCTCCCGCAAAATCAGGTGTCTTATTCCAGGCCTAAATGTGCATCTAGGCACCCGCGTTTGGAAATTTCATTATTTTTTGGCATGACTCCAAAGCACAAAGGCCATTGTCATCCCTTACACAGCGCTCTTCATCTTCCAAGCCCTTGGCGAACATTTATCATTGCAACAAACCAACAGGGTAGGTAAATATCAGGATCCGGTTTTACAGATGGGGAAACTAAGGCAGAGCGGGTGGAAATGACTTGCCCAAGGCCTCAGAAGGATCAGAGATTAACTCACGAGTTCCTAACCCCCATCTTTGCTCAGATCACTAGACCATCTTAGCCCAGCTCGCCTAATGCCATAAATCCTGGCTCAATTGTAATTTTCTCCTTGTGAGTTTCTAATAGCCTCTGACCATTGTTTGAATGAAATGTTTATGGCTGTTGGTGAATATGGAGATAGGGTTGCCAGGTGTCCGGTTTTTGACCAGCACGCCCGGTTGAAAAGGGACCCTGGAGGCTCCAGTCAGCATTGCGGACCAGGCCATTAAAAGTCTGATTGGTGGCACAGTGGGGCTGGCAGGCTCCCTGCCCGGCTCCGTGCGGCTCCTGGGAAGCAGCCGGCATGTCCAGCTCCTAGGTGGAGGGGCGACCAGGGGGGCTCCGCGTGCTGCCCCCGCCCACAGGCGCAGCTCCCATTGGCCGGGTCAGGGCAGGGTTACATAGCGTGACTCGCGAGTGCTCCAGCTGGAGATGGCTGTTGAGGGGTCATGGCATGCGACTCTCCTGCTGCTGCCCGCTTCTCCTCGCACTCCTGTGGCTGGGCTCCAGCTGCATTGCATGCCCCGGCGGCTACCCCGTGCTCTGTCACCCCATTGCCGGCACCAGGAGTTTGAGGTATCCCCGTCTCCTTGTGCTGCTAGGGGCTCTGGCAATGGGGCTGCTGTATGGCCTCCCAAAGCCCACACCCCCTCCCGCATCCCAACCCTCTGCCCCAGCCCTGAGCCCCCTCCTGCACCCCAAACTCCTCATCCCCGGCCCCACCCCAGAGCCCACACCCCCAGCCAGAGCCCTCACCCCTCCCACACCCCAACCCCCAGCCTGGAGCCCCCTTCCACACCCTGAACCCTCATTTCTGGTCCCACCCCGGAACCTGCACCCCCAGCCCAGAGCCCACACCTCCTCCCACACCCCAAACCCCTAACCCAGCCTGGAGCCCCCTGCCACACTCCGAAACCCTCAGCCCCACCCCCCAGCCCAGTGAAAATGAGCGTGTGAGTGAGGGTGGGGGGGAGTGTGAGTGACGGAGGGAGGGAGGATGGGGTAAGTGGGGGTGGGGCCTCGGTGAAGGGGCAGGGCCTCAGAGAAGGGGTGGGTTCTCAGGGAAGGGGCGGGGCAAGAGTGTTCGGTTTTCTGCAATTAGAAAGTTGGCAAGGCTAGATTACAGACAGAAGGTGTGTGTGTGTGTGTGTGTGCGCGCACGCCTGTATGGCTATGTGTGTATGTGTCACATGTACATGAAGAGCGAATGTGAATCGGGTCTGTTCATGCTGGAGGCTGTGTGTACATACACTATATTGTTTGACACCAGCACATCTTGTAAATATTACAGACGTTGTTCACTCCAGAAATAACTCAGGTTTTATCAGAACTTGCCAGGAGAACAGGTGAGGCCTAATTCTCATTTACATTCAGGCTCTTTTACACTGAAAGGGACCTTAGTGCAAATGAGAATCAGGCCCTCAGTGTTCCTGAGAATGGTGACGTGTGTGGTTGCAATCGCAATGCTGCCATGCGCCGTGTGTGTGACAGTGAGTGGGGGAGTCCGGAATCTGACACACAATTGCCTGCTGGAAGCCAGAGCTGCCTTTAAGCTTGGTAGCTCTCGGTGGTCCCGGATGAGAGCAAGGATGGGTTCAGCTCCTGGATTTGAGCCGTAAGACCCCTTGCAACCAACAGAGCTACTGCCTGACAACATCCAGGCTACATCTGCACTGGGAGCTGGGGTGTGATTCATTTGCTGATGCTCTTGGTTTTTCATCTGCTGTTGAGCCTTGCTACCCCCTGAACTACTCTGACCAAGGCCCGGCAGCGGCCTGTCTCTGTGACGGGCAATTGGGGAGAGTGGACGCTGTTAATTAGAAAATAAGACACCTAGGCCCTGCCAAGTCACAGTTCATGAAGTTAAGATTTCATATTCATTAGCTCTGCAGTGCTTGTTCACCTGGAAGATGACTCCTTGATTTGTAACCTCACTTCAGGAGGGTGCTAAAACACTACCACATAACCCTACGGCCGCAATAAGCACCCATGGCACCAGAAATGGAGTTAGCAGGATGATGGTCAGAGGTGGGGGGGGGGCCAGGTGGACATTTTACCCGGGAGACTCAGCTGTTCATGAGTTTCCAGGCCTGCAGTAAATCCTCAGGCCTTTGGAATTCAGCTGCTTCCTTCTTAGCAAAGGTTTCCTCTCCTTCTCTCTTTACTGAGATGGGTCACTCTGGAAGGAATGGACAAAGCATAAATATGACACAGAGGAATGGAGTTGCGCCCAGGAGCCTGCTTTACCTTCCACACGATTCAGACAATCCACTTGATTTTCTGCGAGGTACCTGTAGTTATTGGAAGGAGCCTGGTCTAGGGACAGCGTAGGGTTGGGTGCACTACCAAGATGCTTAGGTACCGGGGTGATAGGGTCTGAGATCACTGTCATGAGCGTGGGATGAATAGAAAGAAAGAAAGAAAGAAGCTTGGATAAAATATCAACACTCCTCCCCCATTCAATCTTCACCCATTTTAGGACTAAACCATGATTGATCTGCAAAAGTGGAGAGACGCGCATAGGTGGGAGAGTGGGTCAATGAAGAAGAAGAAAAGAGAACTGGTGGTGGGAGTGGAGAAGAGCAGAAATGCAGCATCAGAGAAAGGAGCTAGGAACTCTGCATCCCCTACAGCTAAGATGGCTGGTGCGTTCACTTAATGCCAGCATATGGACTGGGCCTTGAGGGTGACTTGCCCTATAAGGTACCTCTGATGTTATCCTGGGCCATTAAGGACCTCACTGGAGCTGGCAAATGGGGACGGGAAGATGGATTGGATTTGCTGGAAAGGAATGTAGAGTTGAAAGCACTTCCTCTGCTTCTGGGCCCAGAGGTTTATTTTGAAGCTTTCTGGCCTGTGTTCAGACTAGACGATCACAATGGTCCCTTCTGGCTCTGGAATCTAGGAATGAATCTAGGAATTTGGGAGCTCATTGTTAACATGAACACAGTGCAAATGTGACAACCCACCTGCCCCACGTGAATCATCAGATGAGTTTGGATTTTCAGCACCACAACACAGACCTTTAGCACTTGACTTAAAGGAGTAGCTTCATTAGCTGGTAGCAGGAATAGGCTGTTATCCTCTAATGGCCTAGCCCCTAGCCAGGAGAGCCTGACACACCCTGTGCTAGGATGGGTAACACTACCAGGCTGTGTTTATTTCAGCCCCAGAGCCCTCTCACGGAAAGGAGAAGATCGCAAAAGAGGGACTATCAGATAATGAAATAAGCGTCCGAGCTCCAGGATGAGTTTGGCAGGATCCTTTATGCTAATCGGGTTTCAGCTCTCTTTCCTTCCATCGTCCCGATGACATCGCCTCACTCATGGGTTCGAGCCTGAGATATAATCCTTCTAACAACCCCTTTGAAACATCACACCGGGAACAGCAGCATTTGAAGAGGACCAAAGCCTGGGGAAAAGGGACTCCTGAGTCCTCGCTAAGCACCTCCGTGGGCGTCAAGCATTCCTCACCCCCTCCCAAGGACTGTGGGTTGGGAGGGCCGGATGGTCAAGGCAGAGCTGCTAATCTGCAAACACTTGCTGTCCTCCTGGGGGCACAGAAAAGGCACACATCTCGCTGCTTCTTCACTAAGCAACATTGCCCAGCAGCCCTCCTCAGCCACGGGGCGATGACCAATGAGAGATCTGGGCCGGGCGACGCTGACAGGCACGGGGGGCACGTGCTCCTTCACGGGATGGGCAGCGCAGCCAGCCAGGGCCTGCGGCTGTCCCTTCAAATCAGATCAAGGGGAGGCGAAGGAGGTGGTGAGATGCAGCCCCCTAACGAGCAATGAGTAGTGACTCCGACGTGTCTCACACCAAGCCAGCAGGGCCGCTCAGCGGTGCTTGTGACTGGCGCTGCTG